TAATTATAATTATTAGATTTATAATTGTAATTAAAAATATAACTTAAATAAAATTACAATTATAATCATAATTATAAAAAAATAATAATTAAAATTAAATTTAAAATTATAATAATTATACCAATTACACTAATTATAAATACAGATACAATTATAAATGTAATTATATTTTTAATTATGATTAATTTTATAATTTTTTTTTGTAATTATAATTATAATATTTATCTCTATAATCATAATTATATCTATAATTACTAATTTAAATATATAATTACTCCGAAGTAATAATAATTACAAAAATAACAACAAGAACAACAATCATATTAATAATAATGATGATTATAATTACATTGTGAATCATAATTATAATTATAATTATAAATATATTATAATATAATATATTATATTATATTATATTATATTATATTATATTATATTATATTATATTATATTATATTATATTATATTATATTATATTATATTATATTATATTATATTATATTATATTATATTATATTATATTATATTATATTATATTATATTATATTATATTATATTATATTATATTATATTATATTATATTATATTATATTATATTATATTATATTATATTATATTATATTATATTATATTATATTATATTATATTATATTATATTATATTATATTATATTATATTATATTATATTATATTATATTATATTATATTATATTATATTATATTATATTATATTATATTATATTATATTATATTATATTATATTATATTATATTATATTATATTATATTATATTATATTATATTATATTATATTATATTATATTATATTATATTATATTATATTATATTATATTATATTATATTATATTATATTATATTATATTATATTATTATAATATAATAATAATTTTATATTATCAACATTATTATTATATGATTATTAATAATATTATTATATTAATATATTAATATTATTAACAATAACTATAATATAATAATCATAATTAATATAATAATAAAAGAAATAAATCATGTTTGAATTTTTTGATCTGATCTGATCTGAATGTTTCTGATCTGATCTGAATGTTTCTGATCTGGTCTGATCTGGTCTGAATCTTTCTGATCTGATCTGAATGTTGCTGATCTGATCTGAATCTTTCTGATCTGATCTGAATCTTTCTGATCTGATCTGATCTGATCTGAATCTTTCTGATCTGATCTGATCTGATCTGAATCTTTCTGATCTGATCTGATCTGATCTGAATAAAATAAGATTAAGGAATAAGTAATAAGATTAAGACGAACGGAACAGCTTCTAAGTTGTTATATTTTCATGCCCCGATGTTTCCTCTCCTTTTCAAAAATGAACATTCGGTTTTTAAAAAACCCGAAAAAAAATCAAAACCGAACCGAAACCAACCGAATCAAACAAACCGTGGTTGAATTTTTTTATCAAATAAACCAAACCGAACATTTTCCTTTGGTTATGCGTTCGGTTTTAGGTGAAAACTGAACCAAAGCAACCAAACCCACCCCTGCTATAAACCCTCCTCCAGGTCATACCTCCAATAAGCAAATGAATAATGTCACTCAAACATATTACTTTTGAACCTTCACACTTATAAACATAAGGTGTTATCATCCAAAGAAAGTAAACATATTAGCTTTTAACAAAGCAATCAAAAAATTGAGTAAAATAAAAACGACAACAAAATAAAGGCAAATAATTTATTAAAACTTTTCTAGTAAAATTAAGAGAAAAAATAGATTGGCAAAAAAATTAGCACCTAAAGCTAGTGGAGCAGGGTTGATAAGTACGGTCACTCAAAGCTTTTCAATTTTTCATTACTGTCCTCTTTTGTCTCTAGATTTGTTAGTCACATCTTCTAAATTCCATGATTTTCATCATCCTCACTCATAATTCTACGAAAATTAAAAAACCAAAAAAATAATTATAGTCATTAGTCACAATACTCGTAATATTCTTCATTGTTACTTTTAGTTAAATGATAAACAAAGTATTCTTTTTATGAAAGGGAAAAATAAGTACACTAGCTAGCTTCAAAAAATTTGCAGTAAAGTTTTTTTACCAGAAGAGCTTGATCAATTGGAGTTAGAAATCAAGGAAGTTTTGTGTGATCTTGAAAACATTTTTTTGCCATGTTTTTTTGACATAATGATCCATTTGCCCATTCATTTGGTAAGAGAAATTAGGCTTGGTGGACCAGTTCCATATCGCTGGATGTATTTTATGGAGCGTTATCTTTGCAAGTTGAAAACATATGTTCGTAATAGAAGTCGTCCAGAGGGTTCTATAGCAGAAGGGTACCTTATCGAAGAATGTTTGACATTTTGCTCTCGCTATTTACATGATGGTTTGAATAGAAAGCTACATAGTGTCTCTAAGGATCTGGATGCCAATACAGACTTCACAATATTTAACGTGACTGGTTATCCACTTGGTGGAGTTAAAAGAAAAAAGGGAAAGCTATTCACCTTAGATGATATCACGTCTAAGCTTGCACATCGTTATGTTTTATTCAACTCAGATGATGAAGAGATAGAAGAGTTGGTCCGGTAAGAGAATGAATGCATCATATCATGCTATTTATACATACTAACTTTATTATCTTAACATATTATATCTTTTTTGTGTATAGAAAACATCAGGATCAAGTGCGTAGAGACAAAAAACGAAGTAGGTGGGCACAAGAATATAATCATAGTCATGAATTCACAAACTGGCTAAAGGGAAAAAAAAAGCACATTACTCCGTGTCAGACAACTTATTTTGGTTAGCAAAGGGACCATGTCCTAGTGCGAAGAGATATACCGGATATTCTGTGAATGGGTACCACTTTTGTACAAAAGATCGTGATGAAAGATGCAATACTTAGAATAGTGGAGTAACTGTAACTGCCATGACAAACAGTTTTGCAAGTTCTAAAGACAAGAATCCCATCACTGGTGATGTCGTCTACTACGGTGCAATACTAGATATAATTGAATTAAATTACTGGTCAAAGTTCAAGATTGTGTTGTTCAGATGTGAATGGTACCAAACCGAAAAAGATGAATATGGGCTTACATGCATTAACTCCACAAAATTTTGCTCGTCAGATGATCCATTTGTGATTCCTTCATAAGTACATCAGGTGTTTTATGTGGCAGATCCCGTTTATAATGAGCTATCATACGTTATGGAAAGAGTTCCTAGAGGTTTCTTTGATTCGGAGACACAAATAAATGAAGATGATGAAATTACCTACTGGAAAGAGCCTATAGATCATCGAGCTCAGAATTTTCCATATGTTTCCAGTGATGATATTAATGGAGCCAGAGAAGATCTTGATCCAACTATACTTGATGCTCAAGTTGAGACAGTAAATGTTGGACAATCAAGCACGGGCATCACAAGTGAATCCGAAGAAGAAGAAGACGATGATACGCTATGGGATTGGATGCATGCTAGTGATGAAGAGCAATAACTTTATTCTACTTTTCATTACTTTTTATAACATGTCCATTGATTTTTCCTTGCGTTGTTATTTGTTTGAAACTGTTTCTTAAATGATTTGGGTTATTTATTAATTTATTCTTGTTTTAATTTGAAAAGTTGTATCCCTTTGGTGTATTTTGATGCATTCATTATTTTTTCTTATGAAGTATTACTTTTATGATTGTATGGATCAAAGCATCTCTTTAGACGGTATGTTCACAAGGAGGGTTATTGTTGGGTCCTTCTCTGTTGTAGGTTTTACTTTGTGTATATGAGTGTTTTCTTTAGATAATGTACTTATACATATAACTTAAAAAGTGTTCCAGCTGATATATCTTATTTGTGATTCACAGAGACATGGACAAAACAAAAAGGCATAATGTGCCAAGGAATTTAGCATCAAAGCGAACATCAACTACATTTGGAGACAATATGTCAGAATATGAGAAACAACGTTTACTCAGAGTTCGTGAGAATAAGGAAATGATGCTCAAATTAAAACTTACTTATATATGTTCTTCACTATCAAGTATGGTGGATAGTCAGAACGGGAGAAAGAGAAAAGAGAATCTGAGGAATGATCCTAACTATGTTCCTACTGCTGAAGAAATTACTTCATTAGAGATGGTTGAAGGTGCAAATGTTCTGAAAAAGGTACACTTTACATATATTTGATGTTATAATGTGTTACTTAAACATAGTAATGGTAATGTTTTCAATTTTGTAGAAAAAGCAACAGTATATCGCACCCCAGTCACTCACTAGAGTTCTAAGGAATAAACAGCCTCAAGGACTACCAAAAAGTGATTTAAAGGTGCAAAATCAATCTGCAAAAGAAGTCACAACACAGAAGAACAAAAACAAGGGTCCACCCAGAGATGCAGTTATTAATATGGCTGAGTTTTTAAGATACAAATCTCAAGAGGAGAACCAGGAACCACAATTATCTCCAGAAAATGAAGGTTCAGTTTTAATACTTTTTCTAGATTCCTATTTTATTGCTTTTGAATTCATAAATATTTAAAGATTCACACATGATAATATAGTGCAAGGAAAAATGGATTTTAGTTCATGGGAAGATGATGACATTTTTGATAGCATTGAGTCAGACAGTGCACAAGGTATGAATTTCAAGTTTTATTTTATTGTTAATCAATTGGCCTATCAATTATAACCTAAGTACTTTGTGTAGGTGGAAATAAATCTAAAGAAGGGGATGATGATGATGTTATGATGGATCAATTCGTCGAAGAAGACGAGAATGAAGATGATTTTATAGAACACGGTCAATTAATTGGAGATGATGATGATGATGATGATGATGTTGAGGTAAACGGTAATGAAATGCATGAAGGATCAAGTAAGTGCATTTTCTTTTTTTCTTCTAATATTTTATGGTTTCTCTTCTTCTTCTTCTTCTTGGCATTAAAAATTGCATTATTCAGTTAATTTTCATCAATATATTTGTTTCCTTAATAAAAATTTTATGATGTATTTTACAGATGTTGTGGCACACGAAAGAAAAAAAAGAGGTCCTACAATGATGCATGCAGTACACGTGAGAGAACATCGTATATCCATCATATTAAATAAATTTGGACAACCTATTGGGCCCGATAAAGCCACACTGGATCAGTTTTCATCATTTTTGGGAACAGTGGCTCGTCATTATGCCTTTGCTCCACTAGTTACTCCAACGTGGACCCGTGTAGAAAACAAAAACAAGATGTGGGAATATGTATTGGTATGTTATGGTAATAATCAGATATTATAGTATATCAAATTGCATATTACTAACTTCTCACTATTATTTTTTTTTCAGTCAAAATATGATGTCCCCATACATGGAAAAAAATGGGTCTTAAGTACAATGGGGTCTGCATGGAGGGTACACAAGTGTCGATTCAAGGAAAAGTTTTGCAAAACATATAAGGATAATATGACGAGATGGCGCCACCGCCCAAAAGACATTCCCCAAAGTGATTTTCGAGCTCTTTTAAAGCGATGGAATTGTAAAGATTATCAAGTACGTTAAATACATATAAATGCGTATCTCGATTTCCTAATATTTTACACTATTTAATTATGAATAAATATTTTGTTTCTAGGCAAAATGTTCCAGTAACAAGCGCAGTCGTAGTTTCCAGAAGGACAATCACACAGCTGGTCGTGAGTCTTTTGCGAGGATTCGGGAAAGATTGGTATTTAGAGTACATATTTATATATATTGAGTTTTAATTTAAAAGTATACATTACTGTTTTTTTTATCCAGGAAACTACCCTTCCAAATTGTAATGACATACCTTTGTCAACTATGTTTGAAGTCACACGTAAAAGGACTTAGGGCCGCAACTACAAAGAGTGTAATGAAGATACTGCTGCAAAAGTGGTACGTCTTATGTGGTCTTATACTTTTGAATCATAGTCATTGAAAGACAGTGTGGTGAGTTGTTAGTTTTGATTTTTTTAATCAATTGTGAAGCAGGGTTGTTAATACAGATTTTCATTGCTTAATTGCATATATTCTTAGATGTGATAATTTTTGGTGAAATGCAGTACTTGTATTACAGAGTATAATTTTGATTTTTTAATCAATTGTGAAGCAGGGTTGTTAATATAGATTATCATTGTTTAATTGCATATATTCTTAGATGTGATAATTTTGGGTGAAATGCAGTACTTGTATTACAGAGTATCTACTACAAGGTGTAGCAACTTGTATTTGATGTTGTTATATACGAGGTTACTGTTCTACTAATAAATATTAGATTGGTTATTTTGATCCTATGTGATTGTCTAGATTTTTGAGCTGTTTTGGGGTGTTGAATATTTTGTATTTACAGAATGTCGTTTTATAAGTTCTTTACAAACTAGTAAGTGCAGCTTTGTTGCTGCAAATTTGTGCATGCAGTTTCTAAGTGATGTTGCCACTGCAAAATAGTGTAGTTTTTGTGTAGTTTTGAAGTGCAACTTTTAAGTGTAGCTATTAACTTTGCAACTTATATTCCCAACCATTTTTATTATTTGTAGGCCAAAATGAAGAACTATGAGGCACAGAATAAGGATGAAAGTGGTAGTGCAATAATTGATGGATATTCATTTGTTATGTCAAAAGAGGTTGATGGTCGTCCGATAATGTGTGGCAGAGGTGTGACCAAGAAAGATATCTCCAAAGTGAAAGATAATCCACAATCACATGTTGCGACTCCAAATGACATGGACATCGTAATAAGTGATTTGAGAAAAGAGATTGAATTAGTAAATGAGAAGAAGAATGCTGAAATGGAACAAATGCGCAAGGAACGTGACGCTGAAAAACGAAAGATGGATTTAATTTTGTCAAAACTTGCTACTTTGATTCCAGATCTCGATTCTGCTTTACTTGAACTATAGATTGGTCTGAAAGACACGCCGGACATAGGTAGTTGATTGAACTTCGCAATGTTTGTGAATTCCTATTTGACAGATACCTTATATCTTGTATTCTTGTACTAATTTATTCTTTTTCTCTGTGATGCAGGGCAGCACCATAGACATGGCCAGTGGTGAAGATTGCAGTTTACTAGCGGCACTAGAATTTTATAGATTAGTTGGATATTCTTTTTGTCTATTTTTTGTTGAGCACGTTTGACAATTTTTTTTGGGTACTTCGACATTATGATGGATTGTTTGAAGATATTATTAAGTTTTATTTGAATAAAATATTCCTCCAAGGAAAGCTTATAAATGTTGTGATATATCTCAATATAAATATATTTATAAGATTTTGTATTATGCTTGCATGCCGCAAAATTTATAAATTGATACTATATATGCTAGTAATTAAAAAAAAGATGCTGATACTTAGAAGTATGTATATATATATATATATATATATATATATATGTATGTATGTATATATATATATATATTGAAAATGCGTTAAAAAAATAATGTTGCATAATCTTAATAATGATGTTACTTCTAAGTCTCTAGAAGTGTTGCATGAAATAAAAAATGTTACCTAATCTTTTCAATTAACCGTTGCATATTGTGAATGAATGTTGCTAAAGTACAAAACCACATGTTACGTAAACCTTATAAAGTGTTGCGTAAAGTAACACTTCAAATGTTGCATTTTACTAGAAAAATGTTGCATAAGATTCAAGGTAAAGTGTTGCAAAAAAGTGTTGCATATGTAATACTTATGCAACACTTCGAACAATAGCATAGCCTGTGATCACTACTGCCATGTTTTGACAGTACCAGACTTCAAACATGGCAGTATTTTCCAAATTTGGCAGTAATTAGTCCTATTTTGGGAATAAAAACATGACAGTCCTATTTTGGAATTTTCGAACTTTTTTAGTCCCATTTCGGGAACTTTCCCTAAACAATATGACTAAAGGTCACTGTTCATGAGTATCCGTGTACTTAAAATGAAATAAAATGACCTCAATGCCCTAACGTGTTTGTCTTCCATAGATTAATCATAAAATGAATTTTATTACTCCGTATTAAACGGAAACCAACCAATTTTATAGGCACGCGACACTCGGAATTTATTGCGGTACATAAGGAGAAGGAATCACCTTCCTTTTCCATACGCAAATCAAAGGATCGGAGGAGCGAACATGAGGAAGTAGACGGCGAATCGAAAGAAAGCAGTGGCGGAGAAAGGGGATGTAGGAGTGGTGGATGCAAAAAGACGAAGGCCACCGGGTCTTCGGCGAAGGCTAGCAACACAATTACAGTGAACAATTGGTTTGGGCAGTGGCCAAAGAGTTATGGCAGTAGTTTAACGTAGGTAAAAGATAGGAAATAATCTGGATAAAAAGTTACTTTAATTTGGGCAGTAAGTACAAAGGAGGAGTGTTAATTGTGCATGAGGTAGAGGATTGGGTAGTAAGAGAAGTAGGTAGGCAGTGTTAGAGCAGGAGGATAAAAGTAGTAAAATATAAGGGTGTGAAATATGGTTGGACCGGATATCACTTCTAGTCACGTATAAAATACGCTTTCCTAAAAGTTTACTATCTACCCTTATCAAAGTAATAACCGGGTTACAAGATAGAACTTTTGGTATAAAAAGGTGTATGGTGTATTTTAGCTACTGATAAAATAACACCGAACAAGTGATTTGTATATAAAGTAGTCTAAATATTCTATCACTATTAGGATGTTTTTACTTGGATTGTAATTTGTTGGTCTGGTCTGGTCTGATCTGGTCTGGTCTGGTCTGGTAAGGTCTGATTTCTTTGTATTTTTATAACTATCCAAGTCTGGTCTGGTCTGGTCTAGTCTGAACTGGTCTGGTCTGGTCTGAACTGGTCTGGTCTGGGGCAAATTACAGTCCAAGTAAAAACATCCTTAGTGTAGTTAATAATGATAAAATAAGGCAAAGCACGATGGCAAATATTTTGTCCGTTTGTTATGTTCAACATTTATCTTCCCCTTTTATGGAGTAGAGATAACTTTTCAAATAGTGAATAAACATGTTGCATGGCTATCAGTTAAAACTCAACCGTAACTCTCAAAGGTTGTGTTCTAAATTTTGAGTCACGACTCACGTAATGAAAAAGAAACTTTTGAAAAGCATTTTACGTACAAGATGCGTGCAAACATGTAAAAACAATTTATTTTTAATTAAAGTTACTTCCATGCACGACACCACTAGGAATTCAATTATTATTATTTAAATTATGTTAACTAAAATACATATTTAGTACCATAATTTTCATAATAATAATTATAACTAATACTCTTAATAAATTTGGACAACCTATTGGGCCCGATAAAGCCACACTGGATCAGTTTTCATCATTTTTGGGAACAGTGGCTCGTCATTATGCCTTTGCTCCACTAGTTACTCCAACGTGGACCCGTGTAGAAAACAAAAACAAGATGTGGGAATATGTATTGGTATGTTATGGTAATAATCAGATATTATAGTATATCAAATTGCATATTACTAACTTCTCACTATTATTTTTTTTTCAGTCAAAATATGATGTCCCCATACATGGAAAAAAATGGGTCTTAAGTACAATGGGGTCTGCATGGAGGGTACACAAGTGTCGATTCAAGGAAAAGTTTTGCAAAACATATAAGGATAATATGACGAGATGGCGCCACCGCCCAAAAGACATTCCCCAAAGTGATTTTCGAGCTCTTTTAAAGCGATGGAATTGTAAAGATTATCAAGTACGTTAAATACATATAAATGCGTATCTCGATTTCCTAATATTTTACACTATTTAATTATGAATAAATATTTTGTTTCTAGGCAAAATGTTCCAGTAACAAGCGCAGTCGTAGTTTCCAGAAGGACAATCACACAGCTGGTCGTGAGTCTTTTGCGAGGATTCGGGAAAGATTGGTATTTAGAGTACATATTTATATATATTGAGTTTTAATTTAAAAGTATACATTACTGTTTTTTTTATCCAGGAAACTACCCTTCCAAATTGTAATGACATACCTTTGTCAACTATGTTTGAAGTCACACGTAAAAGGACTTAGGGCCGCAACTACAAAGAGTGTAATGAAGATACTGCTACAAAAGTGGTACGTCTTATGTGGTCTTATACTTTTGAATCATAGTCATTGAAAGACAGTGTGGTGAGTTGTTAGTTTTGATTTTTTTAATCAATTGTGAAGCAGGGTTGTTAATACAGATTTTCATTGCTTAATTGCATATATTCTTAGATGTGATAATTTTTGGTGAAATGCAGTACTTGTATTACAGAGTATAATTTTGATTTTTTAATCAATTGTGAAGCAGGGTTGTTAATATAGATTATCATTGTTTAATTGCATATATTCTTAGATGTGATAATTTTGGGTGAAATGCAGTACTTGTATTACAGAGTATCTACTACAAGGTGTAGCAACTTGTATTTGATGTTGTTATATACGAGGTTACTGTTCTACTAATAAATATTAGATTGGTTATTTTGATCCTATGTGATTGTCTAGATTTTTGAGCTGTTTTGGGGTGTTGAATATTTTGTAC